ATATTAAGGGTTCAGTTTTTCCTAGAGCAGAGATGGAGACAGAGTTTCTCTAATATGATGTAATTGCTGAGGGAGAAGGCTGGGGACTTAAGTGTCGCTTCTTTGTGCAAACCACCCTCTCGGTTAAGTGTCATGGTGCCCCTCTGTGTGTGTGGGTAGGTGGGAGTTTCCATAGCTGCCATAGCATTCGCTGAAATCTGGTTTAACTGTGACTTGTCATTTTGTTATGTGCTTGACAGGGAAGACGCCCCCAGTTTTATTTGTTTTATTGTTTTATTTGTTTTATTTGTTAACAGCCGGGCAGCAAGGGCGAGAGCTCTGGGCATTGGCAAATGCCCACTGTGCCCTGGTAATAAAGGCTTTCTCTGGAGGCAGACTGTGCTGAGTGCTGAAGGGGGAGGCAGTAGTAAACAGGTATTTTGCATTCAGGACGGCCTCTCTCTCATCTTGAAGTGTGTAATTGTGCTCAGGATAAATTACGGGAATAAAAAAAAAATCACAAGTTGCTCATAAGGAAATAACCCTCTTTCAAAACAAGTAAAATTTTCAAAGCAGAGACAAAGGGACCTTAGCAACCAGTTCTGAGATGTTGGCTGGTAAGCAGGGCAGTAGGGAGGGAGTTGTCTTCCCGAAGCAGGTTCTAACACTCCTCAGCTCAGCCACTTCGCTGAATCACACCAGGCAACTTCCCCAAACCAGGCTCTGCAGTTCAATCTTTATGGTAGAAATACTGAAAACACCAGAAGTCTGGGAAGCGGGAAGCAGCTAGTGCCCCGCCCTGCACTGGGAACACCTCAGTTCTTCTTCCTATTTCTCACTTCCCACCTCTGGCTTTGAGATCCTGTCACTTGTCACTTCTGTAAGGATGGATAGGTTGCTGATTAAATGGACAGGGATGGAGTCTAGCATTTTGTACAATGCCACCTAAAGGGAGTATTTAACAAAATGATGTTTAGAAAAGTCTCTGAGAAATTATATTAATTGCCAACCACTAATAAAGAACTTATGTCCCAACACCAGCCCTGTCAAGCTGCTATCAGGGTCACTGGTAGTCATCAAAGGAAGTTTTACCTTTTGTAAACAGTAAGCTTTCTTGTCACTGTAACTGCCCAAGAAGTGTCTGGTTTAATGGAGGATGCTTGCTCATGAATGAAGGGCTCTCTTTGGTTCAGGTCTTTGTTTTTAGGAATTACAGAGCAACTCTGAAAGTTAGCCAGGTGTGGTGGGGCATGTTTATAATCCCAGCACCCTTAAGTATAAACGAGGAAAATTGCCATAAATTTGAGGATAGCCAGTGGTACATAGCTCGTAGCAGACCATTCAAGAGCACACAGCAAGACTCTTTATGGAAGAACAAACTACAGGGCTATCATGATGAGATGCCTACTGCCACGCCTGAGCAATTTGATCCCTGGAACCTACATGATGGAAGAGAATAACTGACTCCAGAAAGTCCTCTGGCTTCCACATGCACACAAGAATAAGTAAGTAGAACTATGTGAAGAAAAATAGACAACAGAAACCCTGAAAGTTACAGGAAGCATCCCTATAACATAACAACTTCTGGTCTAAATTAAAATTCAGTTTGATTCTGTCTCCCAAACTTCATCCAAATACACCAATTAGCGGTCGAAAATGTCTACACATGCCAGCCACTGCTCCACCCTTGAAATAAATTACCTGGCTGTTAACAGCTTCATTTAATGGCTAGATATTTGTACCTGTTTGATTTCTTTTCCCCCAGAACACATACTGTTCCTGCCTTGACAGTATGTCAGCTAATTGAGTTTTAGAAAACTCTGAAGGGTTTTAAAATGCATTCTTTAAGGAAGATACCCAAGTTTTGTGTTTCTCTCCTGCTACACATGAGATTGCATTTTGTGACAACCTAATTGTCTCAACATTCATTTCAAGAGGGAAATTTATCAAGTCATAGTATGTACTCTTCCTGTTGGAAGACATATTGGAGGATGTGAGCAGCAATCATTTTTACATAAAGGCTTCGGGCAGTAGAGTACTGACACACATACTGTATTTTCCTTGCTGTCACTCAAGTCCTTTGCCTCAAATAAATAGGTCATTATTATCCCATTGCAGCCATCTATGGTGCCTCAAAGTATGGGGCTCTGTTTAATATAACTGCCATCCAGCTGACCTGTATAATTTATGGGTGATTTTTTTAAAAGGACATTCTTGGGCCACCATCATCAGCCAAAGCACTTTGATGTCTTTCAGCCAAATATTTCATTATCACATAATTTCCTGTATTGGTACTACAACCATATTAGAAGTTGACTTTTTTCTTAGACACTGGATATTGGCCTTAATAATTAAAAACTAATAACTCCATGACGTTGACAGCATCACCATGGGTTTGCAGTTTAGCACAGCTAAGACAAAAAGTTTACCTGAGCGACTTGATAAATGGACAGGTCAGATAGTACCCCATTTTAAGTAGTAAGTAGGAATGTATGGATTGTGTTATAAAAAGGAAACAGAAACAAAAACAAAACATCTTTGATTTTGTCACTACCTTTGTTCTTAAAACCCAAAACCGTGCTTCACTCCTTGGCTCCTAACCGCCAACACAAAGGCTACTATAGTTACAGTAGCCTCCTCTCTTAATATTCTACAGTGCCGGAGAACTTCCATGTAGAACTAAAATTAAAGCCAATCATTATTTCCACAGGAACCGTCTTATTAGAACAGGGCGGAATTAGAGGCAGCTTTAAATCTCAGGAGCTTTAGTTAGTATCCAAAGGGACTGGTGCCCCTCAGCAGGCAGCCTCTGCACGCGTAGAAGAAATCCCTACCTGTCCCAAGAAGATCCTATTTGGTAGTCCGCCCCCTAAAGGCAAGCCCCTGTCTTTAGCATCGTTTTACCCTCTCATTACTCGGTGTCATTTTTCCTTAATTTCCATGCCTGACTAAGTTACCCATGCAAACATACGGTGTCCTGTTCACACTTACCCATGGCCAGCACGTCCACCTTGAAAAGCTGGCCTGATTGGCAGGAATTCCCGTCACCTTAGTCTTGGCTCATATCTGGGAATAACCCATTCCTTCCTGCTGGGTTCTGAATTCTGTGCTTGTTACCGGAATCCATACAGGAAAAGCAAGCCCTTCACTGTGTTTTCCGATCCTTCTCCACTCTGTTACTCTGTGCTAGCGTTCTGCACCCTCCAAGCTTCCCCAGTTCAGTCTCACTCTATCCAGCCACATAGGCCTGTGTCCTCACAGCAGGCCTCATTTCCAGGGTCATGGAGCTCAAGGTCAAGTTTCATTTGGGTTTGCTCTACAAGCACCAGACATTTCGTTTATCTGTAGCTCTAATAATCCCCCCCCCACACACACACACACACATTCTTCTAGTTTCCTCTCTTCTAATCCTCTACCAGGGGCCAGTCTACTTCTAGGCTGATTTGGCTTTAAGGCATCTTAGACACCCCATCACACTTTCCTGCCAGGAAAGGATCCTTCAGAAGAAGTGTGATAGCAGGTGGAAATCCTCCACTTATTCTAATTGTGCCTCTATTTATGCTGCCTCCAGTTTTGTATTCTTTAAAGGAGCATTTATCTTTGACCTTTGCTTCTTGATGTGACAACATTTCTTCAAGGACTGAAGAAGACACCCTAAGCCGATACATGGCCGGCTACACAGAGAGTCCCTGCAGAGCAGGAACCCTGAGCCGGTGTTCTTGCTGTATTTGCTGCTCCCACACATGATAATGGCTTACTACGTGTGGGGATTTGTGGTCTAGAGAATGATGGCGGTGATGGTGATGATGATGGTGACTGTGGTGGAATGATGACGGCCATGATGATGATGTGATGGAGACAGTAATAGTGACGACAGTAGTAGCAGCTACCATCTGTTTAGTTTGAGAAGCCAGACGTGGTGCCAAGTGCTTTGTGTTTATAACAACTCTGTGGGATAGCTTTTAATGACTGCCCCCATTTTGTAGATGGGAAACTGGCTCGGGTATGGTAGATAAATTTCCTGATGTAAGAACAGTCTGTCTTCGCCTTTCTGGACTGACTGTTACATCTGCCGCCTGTAAACACACTTTTTGTTTGGGAAATTGACATTAGGTGTCTTTTGTATACATCTCAGCTCCCTAAAGGCTGGGACAGCATCCCAGACTTCCCTGCCTCCTGTTATGGCAACCACAGAATCGAACACTTCACAATTCCTTATCTTCTGCTTCTAAATTGAACTTCCACCTAGTGCTGTGGATCTTTTCACACATTTGGGAGATGCTCTGGCTCCTGGAACAAATCTTGTTGCTGCAAACTAGTGCAGCCCTAAAGCTAAGCCTTGTATCAGTGGATCTGAGAGCTCTCACATTTTGACATGTTCTGAAAATGTTTTAGTGGCTGAAGGGGTTATCTGCAGGGAGGATGGTGAGCTCAGAGCTGCCTGAGACTTTGGGTGAGTTATAAAGGTGTGTTTCTGAGAGCTGAGTCAGACTCTCCACTGGAGACCTTCTGGGTTGTATTGAGGTCCCAAAGAGCCAGTCTGGTCCTCATGCCCACACATGTCTGTTGCGAATGTCAGCATCTGCTAACTAGACAGGGTCATGTTTTGAACCTTCTTGCTTCAGTTAAATGACCCTTGAGTTTGGCTTGACTCAGGGTATGTGGTCTAAGCTTGGCCACACTTTCCCTCTTCTGGGTGGGAGATCTTCAACGTTCACACAATCACCACACTGGTTTTTCTGCTTTCATCTCAGCACACTGCTTGGCAGTTCAAAATACTGGAAGTTGGGAGCTCAGTACCCCTCACTTTGAGCCATGACAATTCCAAGCTTAGTTGTTTCCTAACCAAGCTCTGCCTTAGTTTGATGACTCGTTTTGTGAACTAGGAAGAAAAGTATTTAGGGCCATATCAGACATTACTTCTATAGTGCGTTTCTCACTTCTTTCTCTTTGGTTGGTCTCACTGACTAGATGTCAAGTGATGGGGGTTCCGTCTGACCTTTTTCTCCCTTTTTTTGAAGGTGATGGACAGAATCTGTTTACTAAAGACGTGACAGTGGTCGAGGGAGAAGTCGCAACCATCAGCTGCCAAGTCAATAAGAGCGACGACTCTGTGATTCAGCTGCTGAATCCCAACAGGCAGACCATTTACTTCAAGGACTTCAGGCGTAAGTTTCCACCCCGCAGTAGTAGATGCCAACTTTTTTACCTCTGTGTTGTCTTGATAAAGAGATTGCCAAGGCCACCTTTTTCTAATTTAATGTTAGATGCTTAAAGTTTAGTCAATTCTTTAGAGAGAAGAAAGAGACAGGCAATCATAATCTTTCTACTTAATAGAAACCTTGAATGGTCCCCTTTAAAAGTCTTACTTTGCAATAGGAATTGATTGTAGTAATTCAAGGTGAATTGCAATCGAGTCCCAAATACTTAGCTGACACAAACAACTCAAATAGGGTAAGGCAAGGAAAATATAGCATTCTGATAGGGAATCTGTTTGGTTTAAAGATTAGCATTTTCAAGGCAATCTATATCTGTAATGGCAGGACCAGATCTTTCACCGTAGTCTCTGCTGTACAGAGATAGCCATATGCTGAGATCCATTCAAATGCAATTTAACAAAGGCCAGCCTTTGAAACGGAATTGGTTATGACACCAATGGCTCATACGGTTGCTGTGGCTTCGCAGGACACCTAACTGTGAAGCAGTATCCACCAAGCCTGTTTTCCACTGCTTGACTCCTGTTCACTCCCAATATTTTGGGTCATTCTGTCGGGAAAAGTTGATAAACAAGGAACATTTAAAGGGACTAAAGAAGAGCCAGTGCATAGCATGGCTCAGAAGCTAGAGGTACTTGTACCAAGCCTGACCACCTTAGTTCCATTTTCAAAATCCTCATGGTGGAAGGAGAAGCCAACTCCACAAAGTGGTACTCTGAATTTCACATGCATGTGGCACTAATAACCTTTGCGAAAATTCATAAGACGTTGAAAAAGATCTTTTGCATTAAAAAAGAAGCCCACATATGGTGCTTTTTTGGTGATTCCAATTTCCTGTTTGGGATCTGAACAGTTTCCTACTGTTAGGCAGACATACCTAAAAAACTGTAACCAACTAAGGCCTCTAAAGGCTCTGGATCAGGCTGTCCCACCTCAATTCATATCCAAGTTAAATAGTCTGATATAACATGTTAAAAATTGGTATTTTATATTTTGCTTTAAAATTACTTTTTGTTCTGTTTTCTTTAATAATTTGGACCCACTGGGTTTTTTTGTTTGTTTTTTGGCTTTGTGTTTTCTTTCTAAAAGTACTTTTATTTCTGATCCTCTTGTACCTACCTGAGAGAGCCTGGCATGTTGTACAGTGCACTCAAAGCCTGCCTCTGCATAAGTTTCTTTAGGATAGGTCACTAGGGTTATTTGTCTGCATGGAGCTACTGCAGAAACCTAAAATAGCACCAAATACACACAGAAAGATTTACATCATTTCCATTCAGCAGCTGTTTTTCTCCATCTGACTTTTCCTCTTGCCTAGTTAGGGAAATAGATTGTCCGTCATCTTTTGCACAATTACTGACTGTGTTTTGTTCCACAGCTTTGAAGGACAGCAGGTTTCAGCTGCTGAATTTTTCCAGCAGTGAACTCAAAGTGTCACTGACAAACGTCTCAATTTCGGATGAAGGGAGATACTTCTGCCAACTCTACACCGACCCCCCACAGGAGAGCTACACCACCATCACAGTGTTGGGTAAGACATGCTTCTTAGTCCCCGGGAGCCAGTGGGATGACCCACGCTACCAAGTGTCTTCCAGTACAAGGACAGGGTTAAGAGTAGGTCTCACTGTTCCAACTTGTTTTAGGGAGAATCACCACCCACCTTGCTGAATTTTAAAAATAGCCTGTTCTACCAAATCCTCTAAGGAAGAGTCCCTGGCCTTCTTTATAGATTCCACCTGCTCTTGGATGTCAACCCTCAAGCTTCAGCAATGAGGATGAAGAGCGGTTAAAGCCCTTAAATGAATCACTCCCCGCATGAAACGGCATTACTTCTAATTGTCCCAAGATTTCCCTTCTTCTGTGCAAGAGACGGGGAGATGGCTCCCATGGCTGTAGCTATGGAGTGTACCCATGGCAAAGCTCAGATATCTTGTGATGATTTTCCTTCTGACTGACATCCTTATTCAAATGTGCTTTATCCCTTCCTCTTTGGCTTTATTTATATATTGCCTATTTATTACTGATATCCCAGCTCATGCTATGGAACAGAAAACCTTCCCCATGAACACATTCTTTGCTACCAGGTGCAACCATCAGACATAGGCAGTTGAGAGTGGCTTACCTGGAAACAGCAGAGAGCTGTTGGCAGGCTGTGAGGTCACCTCCTGTGCTTGTGATTTTTCACTGAGATCCCAGTGGCCAAGGTGATGGTTTATGTTGTGTTACAGTCAGCAGGTATCTCTCTGCTGAAGGGTCTGAGTTCACTGCAGTTAATACAGACACACACTCTGGTGCATTACAGGAGCTGATCCGGGGTTTTGGAACTGAATTTTCAAGGACATAATACTGTAGAGTGAGGCAGGATCTCTGATTTACACCTTCAGGAAGATGATGAATCAAAGTCTATTTGAGGCAGCAGGCTGCAGCTTTTTGGTGTAATGATATGAAGATTAAAGAGGAAAGATAAATATGAAGGACATTTTCACTGGGTGTGTGCACATATATGTATTTATGAACGTACATATTGAGCTGCTTCCTCATTGCTTTATTTAAACACAGCTGTAAAAGGGAAAATATTTTTAATTCATTAAGCCGACTATGTGCCCAGAGCCTGCATATATTTTTGACATGACTGATTGTGCTTTTAGAAAGTCAGGCTTAACGTCTGGCCACACAGTTTCTAGTGTGGACTATGTGCGGGCACCTATAGCATGCACGTGTGTGTCTGTCACTTCCAGATTTGATCTGTGCAGGGTCTGCATGGAAAGTCTGCTGGAGTGTTTTGGTATGGTGCAGATGAAGCAGATTGCCGGGAAACATTTGAAGTTTCCCGTATCTGCTTGTCTACTCGTGTGTGAATACAAACATGTGAAGGCATGTGTGACTTGACCATCTACACCTGAGCCTCCATCACTTGCAGCATCTCCACAGGGGTGATGGCAAAGAAACAGAATATACCCAGGACATTTTGTATTTTCTGAATTTTTTTTTACTACACAGACCTTTGGTTTTGGTATTTTAATTTCACAGAAAAAAAATATTAACAGAGATAAGCCATTCTGCCAAGGTTACAAAGCACACAAAAAGAATTAATAATCGAAGGAAAGCACCTGAGTTCAATCCCCGGAATATAGACATGATATCATGCACTTGTAGTTCACACATTAGCGAGGCAAGCAGATGGATCCCTGGGGCTGGCCAGCCAGTCTAATGTTCTCGGAGAATCCCAAGCCACCGAGAGACTTGTCTGAAAAAACAAGGTAGATAGTGCCTGAGGAACAATGTCTGAGGGCTAGTCTCCACATGCATGTGTTGTACACAAAGACAGGAACATGTGCACGTGGATACATGTGCGTGCATGTATGCATGCGAGCACACATAGCATTAAACCCTAGGGATGAAAACAGACCTTACTAATCTGCCTGACAAGCGCTGGGCCTGGTAACATGGGTCAATTTCAGTTAAAGCTCAAGTGCTGTGTTTCAGGACATTCCGGAGCTTCACATTTTGTTTTCAGGAGCACATCTTTTGGACCATTGCAAAACACTGCTTCCTGTCAGTTATTGGTGTCTGGGGCATTTATTCTAAGTCACAGTCCTACGCTAGTTCAACTGTGCGTGTACCCTTTGCTTGGATCAATTGCCAACATATAGACTCCTGAGAGGCATCATGGCTGCAATCCATTTGGAGGTCTCATTATTCTAGAAGTAATAGGATCCTGCTTGTATTTTATAGAGGCATTAACTTAAGTGTACTTGAAAGTAATACTAGTCAATGTTCTTTTTGCAGATATTATGCATTCATTTAATATTCTTTCCATTGAAGTTACTCTAGGATTCCTTGACAGAGTAAAATTGTTGTCATCAGTGTGAGAGTCTTTCATATTCCAAAATCTGACAATTTCCACTCATACACATTCAAACCTTCCTCCTAAGGTTTAGAGTTTTAGATATTATAATGAATGAAGAATGATATATTAGCATCTCCGTTGCTATCCATGGCGCTCTAAAAAGGATTCCATATATACTTACACAGCTGTCAAACTCCTCGATAGGTTGAAGATGCTCATTTTAGTGCATATGACTATTAGTTATTTAATTCAGCAAAAACTTTAGCATACTTATAAGATACCGAGATGAGTGTTTGTGAATGGCTTCTATGCTATTCTGTAGTTACATTATGTTTAGATTTCATCTGTGCAAAACCCGAAAACTCTCCTGCAATAGTTTCTTGTGTATTCAGGTGCCATGTGGACCATTCAGTCCTTCCACTTGTGACGAGTTCATGTCCTTATCCAAGCACACAATGTGGTACTCTTAATATTCTGTTCATAAGAGGAGATGAACAAGAGAGAGAAGACGCTGTGCTGCAAAGAAAGCAGTTACTGATAATAGTAGCTAATATTATTACAGTCCTGTCCTCCTAAGATTAGCGCTCATTCTTAAGACTCCAGGAACGGGAGAACCTAATTATTTTAAAGGGTCTTAGAGTGAGATCTCACATACTGATCAGCTTTAAGACTCCTCTTTTGTGGTAATTAATGTGACTCATCTTGATATTGCTGATTTTTTTAATGTTGTAGGCGTAATGTTTATAATTAGCACCCTTATAGGTTTGAGGTTAGCTAAGAAGAACCTTGACATTCCAGGCTGTTTTCTAGTGCTTCCCTGTGGGTGATTTTTCATTCAGGTTTTCCTCTGCATGCTCCTTGCCAGACAGATCTGTGGTTGTTTCCATTAATGGCTGCAGGCAGCTCTTACTAGCATTGTCTGTTTAGTGGATCGTATATAAGTGTGTTCTCTGGCTAGCAACAGTTTTAATTCATTTTTCTAGAAATGGATTTCATACTTTACTGACCTCTTTTATATTAGAATAGGCATTATTAAATCAGGGTGAAATTAAAGGGGGAAAAAACAGGATAGGATTAATAGGCCAAAAGAATTTTTTCTTCTCCAAGCTTCTGTTCTTAGAAAGGCAAATTTCTCCTCACTTGTATTGTCCAATTCTTCATTGCTCTTTCAGAGTCCAAGAAATGTCGACCCCTGTGAGTGTTTCTAATTCAGACTGAATAAGGGTTTCTGCATAGGGGTAAGAGTCCAAGAGAACTGCCTTTACAACATCAAAAGTGTACCTCATTATCAAACCTTATCCTTGTAACCAGACGGCTCCCACCCCACTTGCCTCTTTCTTCTTCTGCTCTCAGCAAAGAGGAGCAATACTGATCCCACCCTTGAGAAAACTGTTTATGAGCTTGGGAAAAATCATTGAGCTATTTCTCAAAATGATGACCTCAACAATATGTTAAGTTTATTGTTCTTTATGCGGGCATATTTTCCAGCTTTTGGAGTTTTCTACACTTTTCACTTGGCTTAAGGTAAAGAAGATGCCAACTGTACAGGAAGGTGATCCTGGGAACAAAAATAGACTGAGATTACTCTGAAGGTCTTAGGGACATAGTGTATCTGTGGACAACAGAGGTCACAGCAACACAGCTAAGACCAGTGGGGCAAAGTCAGATACAAACCTTACTGACTGTCAAGCTCTCAGCCCCCAAAGTCAAAAGGTGCTGTTCATGGATTTTCCTGTCTTGTGTGCACCATCTTGTTTTTTATTTCCTTGCTTTGAATTAGCAGACACTGTCGTTGATGTGGGAGGAACAGACACCATCTTTAGGACCAAATGGAGGTAGTAAAGGCTTTCCACCAAGAGATGCCATTGGAGATTGTTACATTTGAATGTAAATTGTCTGTTATGGCTTTGTATATTCTGTTTTTTTTTTCAACAACTGGCATGCTTTGGGGAAGTGATCAGGTCTTGAGGTCTCTGACTTAATCAGTGAATTCATCCTTGGATTGATTTGTAACATGATAGCATCTGTGAGAGTGGTAAACCGTGGGATATAGGGACTCACTGAGAGAAACATGCCATGGGAAGCATGTCCTTGGAGCGACATCTTCTTGCCCTGGCCCCTTCTAGGTCCATTCTACTTGCTTCCTGTCTGCCATGACATCCTTCGCACAGCTCCATCACTGTATTGTTCTGCCCAGCTGTGGGCCCAGGAACACAGATTCCAGTCACCAAGAACTGAAGCCTTTGAAACTGTGCACTGAAAGAAGTAGTTCTGCTTGTCTTTGTTTTATTTAGGTGTTTGGCCAACACAAAGAAAAGCAACTCAGAAAGAAATGAGCAGTTGGTGGAGGTTATAAGAGGCCTGGGGTGAGGAGTCTTTCTGTCTCTTCAGATCCACTGTAAAACACGAGAGAACAAAGGCAAGGTATCCAGAACACAGAGCATGACTGGCAGACTGTGTGGACACCACGCTCCACTGAGACTTAGACATCCGTGTGGAGCCGCAGCACCCCCTGGATCTGTTCCCATTAAGAAAAGCCCTTGATTCTGAGTGCCCATCAAGGTGTCTCTCCCAGGGTCATGAAGTGGGAGAAACACTGCATTCCGAGGGGATTCCAGCATGGTCAGTCGTTTTAGCCATTTGCCCTCTCTTGTGTCCTTGGTGTCATACTCTGACAATGATATTAATAATTACACTTCTCATCAGGAAGTATCCAGTGTATCAACTTCAAGATCTACTTTCTGTACTGTTTTCATTCCCACCCAGATCTCAAGAGACTGCCTTTTCTCTTCTCTGCTTCGAGTTGTTTGTAAAAACCCACCTATAGCCTTTCACTCCTCAGTCATTTCCTTTCTCTTTCTCTGGGGCTGTCATTTACCAAGATCTTGGTTTCTTTAGGTTTAGACAGTGGTTTCCACAGACATTTGGTTGAGCAGTGGCATTTCCCCTTCAGAGTTCCCACCATCATGCACCCAGAGTGCAGTGAGGTATTTGCTTATTCCACGTATATACTGTCTGTGTATCCCCTGTGCACTATCTAGACACACAAATGACAATCAGTAACCCACCCGACTATCATTTGCACAAATAACTGAAAAGGACACAGCCAGCCGAAGCATCCTGTTTCTTCGTCACTGCCTTTCTGTGTCTCTAAAAATTCTATCAGATGTACACCCTTAAACTGAATGCTGAACTGTCTCCTTCTACTTAGTTTTTAAAATGTGTTTTTGCCCTGAGTAAGTACTCCTTTGAGCCATACCACATTAGCAATCCACCCGATTGAGCAAACGTGTTGTTTTCCTTGTACATAGGAACAGAGAGCAGTACCTTTGCTCCAGCGGTTACCCCCTCCCTGCCTCTACAGTGCACCATCTTGCTGAGAAGCATATGCAACAATCATTTTGTTTTTCCTCTTTCATCATTCTCTATAAGAGTTTTCAATCGCTCTAATTCAGTATGAAAGTCTTCCTGTGGACAGAATTTTCACTTTGGACTGGAACAGTTGGAAATCCCAAATAACATGGTTTAATCCCATAATTTATTGAAGCGGTATCAGAGATATATTATTCAACTTGATGGTCAGGATGGCATGTTTATACATATTTAATTTCTTGTTTCTCTTCTGAGTTGAGAAACTTATTAATCATAAGTCTCAACCCTGTCTTTGCTTATTCATGGTGGTCAGGGCTCCTATTCTTAGATTTGCTCTACTGGATTCTGTATTCTTACTGATTTTTATTTCAGGAGGCTCAGTCTTGAGGTAGGACTGCACGTTATATGAAGCTGCACTGTCGATAACTCCCGCCATCACCGTCACTACTGTCATGCACATGCTCTTGATGTGCTATCAGTATGTCAGCCCTCAAGGCTTTTGTTTTGACTATTTTATTACAGAGATATTTAATATGCTTATAGAAAAGTGGTTTTAATTCTGATATCTGAGTGTCTTTCAAGCATTTAGGGATCTCTTTCACCTTTGGTTTCCAAGATCTGAGCATTAGAATTAGGAATATGGTAAATGCCTGGCACTCCCTATACTGCCAAACCTTTCTTTTAATGGCACTCCCCCCACTGGAGGACAGAAGTACATCTTATACGCATCTCTGGTTCGGTGGTACTGGTTCTGAAGCATACTTTTTCTGTGTGTGTTGGTGGTGAGTGAATTTTCTAAGGAACCCCAAGCTTTTTATCTTTGTTAGTAGACTTTGAAGTCTTTCCTATGAAGATTGAAATCCAAGGGTTGAGTTCAAGGAGAATTATTGCTTTCAAGGGCTTCCAGGTAAGGCCATTAATTTCAGTAGTATGTTCTCCTTGATTTTATATCTTATTTCCTTACCCATTTTCTAATGACTAATACCTGGATTGCTAATCTTAGGTCAGTGATGATTCAGGAATTGGAGACTGGCCACTGGTTACTAAATAGGATACATTTAGAAAAACATTCTGAATTAACAGATTACACATGATCCATTTACATGACATTGTCTATCTAGTTCCTTCCCCTCCTCAGGCTGTTTATTTGCCATTGGGATGTGATCCCATCAGCAATGTCCAATGTCTGCCTCTTCGTTGGTGACAGCAATGCTGCTTCCCAGTGAGCAGATGAGCCTATCCGTAAGTGGGTCCTGTGTTTATAAAGCATGTATGTTTGATTTGTAGTCCCTCCGCGTAACCTGATGATCGATATCCAGAAGGACACTGCAGTTGAAGGGGAGGAGATTGAAGTCAACTGCACCGCCATGGCCAGCAAGCCAGCCACCACCATCAGATGGTTCAAAGGGAACAAGGAGCTCAAAGGTACAATGCAGACTGCCCAAGAGTGAAGCGGTTAGCTGGCACTTGGCTCTAGCAAGCAGACCTTTGTGAAAAGGATAGACAAAGGCCCCTGCAACAAAATTGTTTATTCAGATATGGTTTCTAATCAATTAGCAAAAGCATCTGAGGCCAGAAGAGAATGACTTTCATTGTTTTCGTCTATTGCCTCCCTCTGTAGTTTGAGAGTTGGTGTTGAACCAAACACGTAAACTCGAGCTCTTCAGACCAGGAGGAGCTTGTGCTAGGGATATCCCGCAGTCCGAGGCTGTCCCTGTCTGTACCTCAGGTGTCACTGCGTTTATCCTCCGCTTTGTGCTGACTTAATGGTTCAGAGCCCCACATTTCCATGGCATGTGTTATTTAAAATCCCGAGTCATTCTGCCATGCACCATAGTTGGTGTGTGCTTGCCCGGAAGACTGGTGGCATCGCAGACCAAGAGCTTAAGTTCATTATGAATTTGCAAGGTCTACCTACCTTTTTGGCGAACCTGTGATTCTGTCGCCTGATTTGCCAGCCCATTCTTTTGCAAAGACTCTGATTTGGGGTGCCCTGCTCCTGTTTGACCATTTTCTGTTGCTTATTCTGTCTCTCATACCTGTCAGTATTTAGCTGTCTCTCTTTTCTAGCTTGCCCTAAAAGTAGTGCCTGGGCAAAGGACTCTGGAGTTCACCTCTACTTAACAGAAATACTAGCTGTGTGCCACAGTTTCCTGTGAAAATGGGAACAATAATAATAGGATATTATTATGAAGATGAAATGAGCGAATATTTACAAAGCATTAAGGAAGTGCCTGAGACAGAATAAGTGCTGTATGTGTGCTCATTAAATAAATGAACGGTGTGAGGAAGAAAATAGCCCTTTTAGGAAGGTGATATGGAACGCTATATCCAGAAACAGAATTCTGTAGAGAGCAGCAAGTTTCCGAAAGCTTGTTCTGTTTAAATCTCCTAGTTCCTAAGTATGGTTTTAGAAGGAAAGAGGTTCTCATTTCCCCTCTTCCCCTCTGTCTAAGTGAATTGAGCCATTAAATGTGGACCGATAAGTACAAAACATTCAAAGAAAGTTAATGGTGTGCCTTGCTCCTGGGAGTGCTGGGTTCAGGAAGGGACTGCCTAGGCCTATTCATTCCCTCCGGAAGCCGCCTCCTCCCTCCTTTTCTGGGTGTTCTTGGATGTGTCTCCCATCTGGCCCAAAGCCCTATATCTTACTTTGCTCTAGTCCACTGCCACTGCATTTTTCGTGTTCTTCCAGAAGTCTTCGAATTTAAACATTTCAATTACAATTTCAATTATGTAAATCCATTTACTTACTTTCCCTCTTAATTGTTGATGATGGGATGGGCAAAGGGGGTTGTTTATATCTCTGCTGCTGATTGAATTGCTTAGGGGATTTGGATGATGCCCTGGGATTTCTCAGAGGCATAACAGCCTTGTAGATATTTGAAGTTCAGATGATTGTAGCAGTGCAAAGCCTTTTTACTTCCTTCTCCCAAAACCTCAAGCAGCCAGATGTCAACGTGGTTGAACTTGGAACTGACTTGGCAGGAGGTTCAAAGAGAGAAATATACATAATATATTTGAATAAAAGTAATGTGTGTTATTTGTGTTTGGAATCTATCTGAAGTTCTGTTATTCGTGGCAGAAAAGAAAGAAACTAAGGAAAACAATCATTTTATGGGGTCCCTAGCCACAGGTTACCGTGACCAGCAATACAACAGTACCATCATCTTAGGTAAAATAATACTCTTGGGGTTGGGGAGAAGGAAGAAGATCTTGATATATTTTGTCTCCTGCAGGCAAATCGGAGGTGGAAGAGTGGTCGGACATGTACACTGTGACCAGTCAGCTGATGCTGACAGTGCACAAGGAGGATGATGGGGTCCCAGTGATCTGTCAGGTGGAGCACCCTGCGGTCACTGGAAACCTGCAGACCCAGCGGTATCTGGAAGTGCAGTGTGAGTAGCCAAGTATCTTGTTCTGAGGCCAGTGCTTAAAAGCTTCTCAGGAGTCATTCATTGGAAGTATACATCCATTTTATAAGTAGATGGATGTCCCTCTGTTGTCTTGGGAGAAAAATAATCTAAGGATCATTTTGCTGAAATGCTATTGTATTATCAAGTGCCAGTGAGATTGTGAAGAATACCAGCACATTGACCTCAAATGTGGAGGTAAAATAGTGTCAATCTGCTTTAGCGTGTGACTTAAAATCAGCCTCTTTTGGTGTTGACTGTCATCACTTTTAAGTCAACTAAGTCAGATGATCCTCCTTCCCCTTTTAGCTAATCAGAGACGCTGGATGTTTATTTTTATTTCCATTTCGTACCAACATTCTGTTCTAAATTGCAAGTTCTTGTCTACGTATCCTTAGTTAGAACAAAGAGTTGAAAGTTGAACTCTTTGAGCTTGGCACCATGTCGTGATGGCTTCATCCATAATGCTACACTGTAGTGAGTGAGACTGTCCCTAACCATTCCCTATCAACCAAAGAAGTTTTCCTCATCTTCTCCTCCAAACCCTTCTGCTTCAGATGGGGGGATCTTCTTTCTGCCCAAAGCCATGTTCCAGCCAAGGGTGTGACCAAGTTGTCATCTTCTCTCCCTTTTTGTCAAGACTTCTGTAGTCTGGCCTGGAAGGTCTAGAATACAGTGAAACATGTGTAGTTGATTAGAGATCTGATGGAAGAAGTACATTAGCAGCTCTGGGAGTTCTTCTCTAGTGTCCTAGGGCCATTGAAGTGAACGACAGCACCACAGACTGGGCCTAAAACCACAGAAATTCACTCACGATTCTAGCTGCCAGTGGATCAAAGTCAAGGTCTCAGTTTGGCCACTTTCCCTTCAAAAGCCTTAGAGAAGGTTCTTCATACCTCTTCCAGGACAAATGTGCTGTGAGTTCCCCACAAGGGCTTAGGGCTCCATGGCCTACAACCATCACTCAAGGGGTGTTCTTGTCATTGTGTATCATACAGGGGCACACTGTCACTGAATTTAGGGCCCACCCAGATAATCCAGAGTGGTCTCATCTTGAGATATTCAAGATTGCATGTGCAGAGATTCTTTTTCCAAATTAGATCATATTCACGGGTTTGTGGGGTTTGAAATTGACTTTGGAAGATATATTTTTAGTTGATACATTCCTTATTGTCTGTTTAAATTGTCCAAGTAGCCGGGTGGTGGTGGTGCACATCTTTAACCCCAGCACTTGAAAGGCAGAGGCAGGCAAAACTCTGTGAGTTTGAGGCCAGCCTGGTCTACCGGCGAGTTCCAGGACTGGCTCCATAACTACTGAGAAAGCCTGTCTCAAAAAACAAAAAACAAAAACAAAAAAAGTCAAGATGTAGGGAAATTTATAAACTCATAAGAGACCATCTTATCCAACCTCGTCTTGCCCTGCGAGCATGGCTCAATTTACATTAGAGAATGCAGGTTTTTCTTGTTAATTCATTTCCTCTACTTCATTATATGGCTTCATTATGAGCATCATGCTTATAATTTTCATATCACTAAAACTATTGTGGTGTAATGTCCCTATAATGGGAAAACAGAAATGATCAGATATTATCTAAATTGGCAGATACTAGATTTCTTGTGACTTTGTTAATATGTAATTCATTTAAGCAAACTTAATATCCATTAACGTTCCTTGTAGGGGCCCATTAGCTTTAATAATACATTAGCTCCTTCGTGAGTCCTGAGTGGATATCCACCCAGTTTCCACCCCTAAGCCCTTTAAGTAGTTTCCCGGAGTATCTTTTAAATAGAGGGTAGCCCCTCCCACCCACAGAATCACTCTCACTGCCAACTGCGGGCTATTTCAAGCCGTACACCTCCTACCCCGGGAACATGTGATCATGATTCCTAGCCTTGTGTTCATTTTCTGTAGATTCAAGAGGGATTTGTCCTTCCAAGAAAATGAATACGGCTCCGTATCTGAATCCATTTGGCTCCAATCTAACAAAGTACTGTGGGCTCCTCCCTTCAGGAGAGTGACTGTAACACCTCCCAAAAATGAGTCTGCAGCTACTGATCAGCTCAGACCTTTACCACGGCAGCCTTTTGTAGTTGACTCTCCTCTTCCCTCAGCTTAAGTTATGTAAACAATGTATTCCTTGACGCTTTTATAAAAAACAATATATGTAGATGAAGAAATTTCTTGTAAAAAGGAAGGTTAAGAGTTGCAGAGCTTTATGTAATTCTGAAAGGGCACTACGGGTCTGGTTTGTAATCTCAAGTAAGACTCTCCAAACTTAACAAAGTGCCCTGGCTCTTCAATCTATGTACATCATTCCATTCCCAGAGCTGTGCTGACCCTTATGAAGTCAGCCAGGAAGTCTCCAGTGTCTTCAAACACAGTTGGGATTCTCTGCTTCATTCCCAACCATCCTGAGTCTGCTTCAACACCAGTAGCTATTCTGTAGCAAAGGACTCCTGTCCCCAAGCCTCAGGCTCAAGTGCATTAGACTCTAAGTCTTAGCTGTTGATCAGTGTGGGTAGCTCAGCTCTATTCCTTCATAGCACAATCCATTCTCTCAGGCAGGCAGACATCTTGATGACCTGGAGGAAAGGGACAGGATTCTTAGAAGAGTTGCCCCGAAAGCAATCTATGTAGACACTGAACTCTTGTGGACACCCTCATGGAACAGCAGTACACTTCTCCCCCCTATTTTTAAATTGAGTCAAACTTCCATATGAGTTAGTTCATGTTTTACAAGTGACGGTCCCAGGAAAATGAAATAACAACCTTCACTCCATGCCATTGGCTATCTGACTTGAAGCATGACAGAGGAAGGAGCAATAAAAAGAAAAGAGACAGAGTACTTCTCCCCTTAAGATGGAGTGTCTCCATGTAACAGAGTGGACAAGGTTTGAGCTACAGCTTGGCATTGCTTTTGTCTAGTGGATTCAAGTCCTAATTAATTGAACCAGTATTTTGTAGTGTTTGTTTGTTAGTACCTCTATTTGTGGTACCAAGAGAAATTGTTGTGCCCAATTATGTGAAAAATCAGCCAGATGTGTATGCTGTCATACTTTTAATAACCCTTAAATTTTGGTGAGTACAGATATTAATTGTGTAGTATGCATTGAAGTGATTAACATCAATGTAATTTATCATCTGGAGATTTCTGAACATAAATAAATGAGTTGTTTTGTTCAGCAAGGTGTTGACCCCTCCAGAATGAGTGAATTAAAGTCCCCCCTCCTCTTTTTTATTATAAATATGAAAGGCACCACAATCAGCCAAGTGTTCAGTTATTTGATTTTCTGGGGCATTAGCCGCTCTTGTTTGTGACATTTCCCTGTTGGGTGCTCGTTTGCAAGCTCATTAATAAGGTTTTCTCATAGGAACATGGCTGGGAATGAAGAACATACAGTAGGGCTCTTAGTTTGCTCGCTTTCATTCAGAGACCCAGCAAGGGTACAGCAACATGCAGCTAAATGTTTAAAAAAGAAAATAATTATGTTAGCATGGTAGAATTCAGAGCTCTGCTCTCTTAGATGTTGTACAGAGAACAGTTGTGTCTTTTAAATCTGCTGAGCTGTATGACCCTAAAGTCTGTCTGTGCTCCATCCACCTTCTCCCACCCCCTGACATCTCGCAAACTCCAGATAGGTGCGTTGCCCAGATTTACACCACGGTTGATTAGAACGGGGTGTGATGCCGTTGTAGCACGGTTAGTAGAGCTTCAGATCTGAGGGAATGCACTCTTGTGGAGTAACAGCCTGTTTAAACGAGGCCAGTTCACGGTCTGCGTGCGAAAAGAAAGCTGTCTAAATAGCATCAAGTGGCAACACATCGCAACCTAAGCTGGGAATTCAAAAGGAAACTGCGACCCTCAGTACGGAATGCAGGGTGCTGTGCTGGAGGAGAGAAAGCCTTGCTCGGGACGCACATGAGCGTGAGCTGGAATGTCTGTGACGCACATGTGTGAGCTGAAATAGCTGTGGCGTGGCTTTCATCACCCCCCCCCCCACACACACACCGAAGTCTTCTTCTTTCTAATGTTTTGCAAGATGTCCTCATTTTGTTCAGGTTTTGTGCATGTGTCCATTTGTAAAGAGAGAGAAACAAATTAAGAGCTGAGTTAGAAGGAGAGAATGAAACAAAGCCTCTAGAAGCTGGTGTTGGAGCCCCTCCCTGCCCAGATTCTCACCTGAAGGTTAATCGTGTATGTGGGCATCATTCTCAAAATGAGTTTTATTGACTGGATGTAGGCAGGTATTTTATAAATCCATATTCCCATCCATCCAAGGTCTAGAGAAGGGTAGGTGGTGTTTGGTTTTTGTATTTTTCCCCCCATTCCCTCAACTGGAGGAAAATTGGGCTTTGAGGGGATGAACAGAATTCATTCTTTATCTGTGACAAAATGAATGTTTTCTGTGATATTGATAGCACGCTGTGGTGATGGAGGATGAAAAACCTGGAAATTGGGAAATCTTTCCTGTTTGGACTGGAGGATAAAACTTCCCAAAGCAGCTACTCAACTCCTCCCCACTCTCCTGGGTTATTTCTGTTCCCTGGTTGTATTCTTAAAGTCCAAACAGCTGTGTTTCAATTGGACCTGTTACTCTGGTCTCTAGGCTGTGTCCCACAGGATCCAATGTTTGTATTAATGAGCCGGGTTCCAGAGTGGTTTTTTCAGTGATTATTCCTTATGAGAAAGAGAGACCCTGAAGGACAATTTGTGACCTAGCATCCTTTGTCTTAGTCCAGAGCAGGGACAGCTCCAAGTTCCTGGAGTTTCCTGTGGAACGTGAGTGGTACAGTCCACAGGACTAAGGCAGGCAGGAAGCTAGTGACAACATTCAAGACGAAAGGGCAAGCTGAGGGCTGGGCAAGACAAGAACGCTCCCTGCGGGAAAGCCTTTGCCTTCTGTGGTTCCACCCCCAAAGCCATTCCAGTGCTGCTGTCACTGAGCTGTGCTGATAAAGATGGATGTTGTCTGGAGTGGCCGTC